ATCCCAGCTGAGTTGCAGGGAACTCAGCTGGAATCGTCAGAGCTTGGATCGTCAGAGTAAAAGGGAAAAAACTTTTTTCCTTTTACATGGTTTCTGGCGATCCCAGCTGAGTTGCAGGGAACTCAGCTGGGATCGTCAGAGCTGGGATCACCAGAGCCATTTAAGGCTCGTCAGAGCCTTTCGGGCTGGTCTGCCTGGTTACAGGAGAACGACACCCGGCGTATAAGACGACCCCCGACTTTTGAGAAGATTTTCATGTGTTAAAAAGTCGTCTTATACGCCGGAAAATACGGTATGTTCTGGGAACATGTAATTACACATATTAATTAAATTTCAGGAATGGTTTAATATTTTTGCACCTTCATATTCTTTGGATGTACACATCTATTTCAAAGAAACTGGAGGGCTGGATAATGTATTTTTCTTTGTTAAAAGACTAGTTCTTCAACTTTGGAAAAATAAATTTACAGCTCCAAATACCTGATGCTGCTTACCATTAATGCAGTTGCTTGCAGATGTAGATTGCACACTGACATTTACATTGAAAAAAAGTAAACTTTATTAAAGTTAGGCTGTCTAATAGTTGCATCGATTGCTTTTTTTCATAATTTGTGAATTTTTCTGGCAATTTTTAAAAGAATCTGCTATGTCAGATAAAGTGGCTGAAAACTCATCAAGGCTCCATCCTATTTTCACATCCTATTTTATAGAGCTGATAACAATGGTTATATGCAAGACTATTTATTTATTTGACTATAGTTTGTATAGCTACCAATCTCAAACCAGTGATTCTGGGCAGTCAACAATCATAAACATAATTAAAAGCTAAAACACAATACTAAAAGCTAAAACAAATAAATTAAATACATTTATTTATTTTATGATATTTCTATATCGCCCTTCTCCTGCGGGACTCAGGGCGGTGTACAGCCAGGATAAAACATAGCGTATAAAATTTAAAAACATTTAAAAAAACAATTAAATAATATTGGCCCGAATTTAAAACAACCCAATTAAAACCGAAATTCGATTAAAAACTAAGAGGATGGGATCATATAGTATAGTAGCCAAGAGATAACATGTCAACATAACCAAGAAACACAGCAATTTGGACCCTTGATCTAGGCACATATCAAAATCTTCAAGGCCTCCCAAAAGACCAGCAGGGTTGCAGGTCATCCTAATTTTTGGAGGGAGAGTATTCAGAGGCCAGGGGCTATTCCAGTAGAGAAGCCATGTCTCCTGGCTCTCACCTGCCAACATTCCTTGGCAGATAGAACCCATAGAACCCTGGTAACATGCTGTTACAGGTTAGACAGATAGAAGCAACTGGAAGTAGATGGCTTCTTGGATAACCAAACCCGAGCCATGAAGTTTTAAAGATGACAACTAACACTTTGAGTTGCACCTGGAAACACATTGCCAATCAATGCAATGAAGAAATGATGTTATACGTGCCAAATAACCAACAGTATAACTTGTGCAGCTGCATTCTATCAGCTGAAGTTGATTCTCAAGGGCAGCCCCATGTAGTGTATGTAACAGGAGTAGGTCCTACCTCTGGTAGTAGCTTCAAGCAAGGCTAGAAGCACAGCCACCATTCAGCCTACCCTGTCCAAGGCTCCAGCTATACCTCATATTCTACACCTGCAGCAGAGAGGAACTGTGACATGAAGGGAAACCAACTCTCAGCCCTAATTCTCCTAGGATACCTCAGGTGGAGGGGAAGCCTTTCACTGAGGGTAAGGAACAATGACAGGATTTCTGAACTCAATGCAGCATTGACAATTTAGCAGAGATTCTAGTATGTCAAGATAGACACTACCTATCACAGTTCCAGCATGCATTGTAAAATCATACTGGGATCCTTCTAAGTTTCCACTTTGGCAGAACTGCAGCTGATCTGAGACAATGTAGCAGAATTCTAGAATGTAGGGCTTTGTTTTAAGTCCAAAAGAAAAGCCAGGTTCCATCTTGGGCATCCCTAGAAAACCCCTCTTATCTGACCATCTCCATTTTTCCAGCCAGATCTGATAGCCCTAATTTGCCCAAATGCGCGCCAAGTTTCATGAGATAGAAGCAACAGGGCAGGAGTGCACATGTTGAAAGAACAACGGAGATTAGACAATCTGAATAAAGCATTTTCCCGCGCAATCCTATCAAGGCCGCCTTAAGAAGGGAGCTTCTCTGCTTGAACTCTTTATAGCGTCTCTTTATACCACCCATTCCCTTCCCTGATCATCTGAGGTACGGGGAAGCCCCTCGGGAGCTGCGAGAGCTAATCTTCCGAGGCCTCGTTTCGTCCCCGCACGAGCTCAACGGGGACTTCGGCTTTGCCTTCTTAGCTCTCGGGAGTAGCGCGTCCGCAGGCCCCGGTTTCTTGGCAACCGCTACTAGGGCTCCTTTCGGGTCTTTTCTTCTCAGGACGCCCCGCTGCGACCACTAATCGCCCCCGTAACTGAACGTTTAGGAGGCAGCTGGGAGGGGAAAAGCACCCGGGAGCCGGGGCGGTGCTGGGTTCTCTGCTGGCTGGGAGAGGCGGCGGGAGAAAAAAGCCGACTCCCCTCGGAAACGATCGTTTGCGGGACACATGCCGGGAAGCTTGATCTCCCGAGAAGCAATTTCCTGCGCTTGCACTGGGATGGAGAAGAGGGGAATGGGGGGGGGGGGGGGCCGCCGGTGGGTGCGACATGGAAACCCATATTGCTCAAGTCTTGTCTGCCGGGCAGGAGGGGGAGGGAAAAAAAAGATCGCTCCCCTCCACGATTGCCTTGGAGAAAAAAGTGGGCGGGGAGAACGGGGTTTCTGGGAAGTCCCCTCCAGGTTCTCACAAAGGGAGTTTAGTTAGGCCTCCTTTGTAGGTTGCACGGCGGTTGGGGGAAAACAAAGCCGCGGTCTAGCTCGGGCTTGAAAACCTGATCGTCTCCCTCCTCCCCCTCCTTCTTCTTCTACCCACCCACCCCCCGGAAAACTCTTCTTTGCGCCGTTGCCCTGGGAATAAGGCTTTCATCTGCCGCGACCGTTCCTGATTGCAGGGTTTTTGTCTTCGCCGGGTGGGCCTGACGACGAGAAAGGCCTTATCCGGTGTGATAGTCAGAAGCGTGCGCATTCCTGGAGAGTGAGGCCATAGGGAAGGGTCCGTAGCTCGGCGGGGGCGGGAGTGGGTTGAGGCGCCCGAAGGGAGAGAGAAAGGGGGCTTAGAGGCCGCCGAAATGTTTGCGATAAAGAACCGAGATTCCCAAGATAGCGCCCATATCTGAGTGGACACGTTTCACAACTAAATCTAGAGGAAAGGAAATTCACTGTTCTAGTAAAATGAAGAAAAGGGCTGTATTGTTGCATGGGGTTTTTATAGATTGCCTACCCAACAGAAAAGATCATAAAGTTACAATTAACTTTATACGTTGTTCGTATATTATTTGCTGCACTGCATCTACTCTTATGCCCGACTGCTGATGAAATATATATATATATAGTATTATTTCACCGATTTAGTCTCTGGATATTAACCTACACATTAAGTTTGTTGAACTCCACGGAACTTGAGCAAAAAAATCCAAAACCGTAAGTTTGAGTATGGTACAATCTAAAACATATTTGGTAGGGGAGAAGTTTTGTTACATCTTTCTGTAAAGACATGTATTTCAACACACTTAACAAATGCATAAATTTATTGGGAGATTGAACTGGCTGAGAATATAAAGTTGAATAAATGGAAAGACTATCTATAAACAAAAACATGTTGCTCACATGCACATCTAATATTACATAGTCCAAACAGTTTTTGATAGGCAGTACTGTCCAACTTTTGAGACCTTCAGAATTTACCGTATTTCAGTCCGTGAAAAGACTTAAACTAGGGCTACTAAATCTGGACTAAAACAATATGCAACTGCTAACAATTTTCAATCTAGTGGCGTTTTAAATTGTGTCTCCTCTGCATCAAATGTGAATACCACCAATGGACTTTGAGAGGATTATTGTGTTGAAATAATTTGAACATTTATCTTCAACAAATATACAACGTAATTTATGTGGGATAAATATTATGTTTCAGATTTTAGTTAAAGAAATAATTTTTTGAATATTACATAGCAGTATGATGTATTTACTTGTATCCCACCTTTATTATTTTTACAAATAACTCAAGGCAATCTCTCTCTCTCTCACACACACACACACACACAAAATATATCAATAAGTTTCCTATTGTCGGCACACCCCCTCTACTTAAGCAGAGAGAGAAAAGTGCTAACCTTGATAAAAGAAATACAGTAATTCATTTGGATCACGAAGAAAAGGGGAATGTTAAATATCAGGCTAGAAACCAACAGGCAAGAGACCCTGAGTTCTAGTCCCACCTTTGGCACAAAGGCAGTTGGGTGATCTTGGGCCAGTCACTTTCTCTCAACTCTACGAAACCACTTCTGAAAAACTTTGCCAAGAAAACTGCAGGGATTTGCCCAGACAGTCTGAGAATTGGACACAATTGAATGGAAGAAAAAAAAACGATAGGGAAATGGTACAGATAGTCCTCACTATCATCTTTATTCTTTAGTGACTGTTCAAGATTACAAGGGTTGAAAAAGAAAAACTTAGCTTTGTGATATTTACAGCTGTCACATGCATTGCAGTCATGTGATTGCCATGTGGATGTTTTGTAACGTGCGCATTTATGTAACTGCTTCATAACAAAATTAATGGAGAAGATGGCAGTGAAATCACAAGTCATAGTCACATGATGCCTCTCTTAATGATCTCTGTGATTTGCTTAATGATGGAAACAGAAGTGACGTAAGTCCAGCTGGGTCGTAAGATTTTTCACTTAGCATTTGTGGCACTTGGCAACAGAATTGTCAGTCCCAATTGTGGTTGGTAAGCAAGAACTTTCTATTTGTATATAACTGACCTAAACCGAGGATCCTCCCTCTGCACAATGTTGTTTTCAGATAAAGCAGTTGTGCACCCCTGATATATATAATTAGAAATTTATGTAACTAAACTATCAATAGTTGTAATAATTGGTGAATATAATTGCTTTCAAGTTACAATACCTTGGTGTTATATGTGTTTGGGGTGGATAAGTAAGGCATAGACAATTTACAGTAAGTGATTCAATGATGAACAAAAAATTATTTTTTATATAAAAATTGCCATAATGTTCTTATTTGGTAGCAATGAAGGAAATCTGAATTCAGGAGTTTATCTTGAGCAGCTTCAGGTATTAACAGGAAGCTGAATGACTGGCAACAGCTTTTTGGAATTTAGCTTAACACCTTAAGAAGAAACTTGTTGAGAGATATGAGGTGTCTCTGTGCAAGGCGCCAGTCGTCTTACTGCGGGGAAGTCATGTGAATTCCCTGTATAGACATTACACTCCAGATGCACAAATCACACCTCTGCTTCTTGTTGCTTCCTCTTGCACACAAAGCCATATGTGCTTTCCCTGTTTTGATGTTAATGAAAGCGCCTTATTCATCATTCCCTGATGTTTAGAAGTGAAATATTTCAGGCTTCCTTAATGGAAGAGCATTTATAATAGCAGGCATGGAACACAGAGGGTGAAATCCTGTTCCTTATTTCCAAACTACCATCTTCACCCCACCCTCAACTTACTTGCCCTTTTATACTTGGAAATGCTAAAGCATTTTCCCAGTAAATTCCAAGAAGCTTATAGAGCCATTTTATACACATATCACAAGTTATACATTGTCAAATATTCATGTAATTTTTTTTTTTTTTTTGCAGTATTGAGGCAGGATACTGGTGATTTTCCATACACGTTTCCATCTATGTTACTGGACCACTGTATCACTGAAACTGATATAAACAGGCATCCAATTTTGTTTTATACAGACAGTGTAGCATCCTGTTATTTGTTCTCTTTTAAAGGTATGTTAATTTCCACTTTCTGAGAATCACATCTTGTTTTTTGCTAAGTATTGTATCCCTACCAATATAGCAGGGATTCAGCTATTGCACAAATTAGTAATCAGCAGGAGCAGGAGCTTGGCTACACTCAGTTTTAGTATGGTTTATATAGAGAAAGAAATTTAATTTCCATACCTATCCTAGAGCAACCCAGAAAATTACTGGTATTTCTGACACTGGACGCCTTTCAAATATTTTGAAAATGCTGTTTCTCTGCTTCTAAGGATCATTCAGCAGTATCTATGTTCTTGTGTAAAAAATATCTCTAGTCCCAAGTCTGATTTATTTGGTCTCTTTTACTATAGTTGAGGTGTGTGTGTGTATGTGTCTGCTTAATTTATGAGAATTTCAGTAATTGGCGTACAATAAACCCTCTGGCATTGAGAAATAACAGCTCCTACGCAGCATACCTACCTATTTGTGTGTGTGTGTGTGAGTGCACACAAGCACAACACAAAAGCAGCCTGCAGTCCGTCCTTGACAATAATGATATGAAATTGGTTTTTCACCACCAAGGCTAACTGCTATATCAGATAAACTTCAGATTTATTGGCTGTATGATTGCTGGAACTTGGTCATCTTTAGAAAGCAGTTACAGGAATTCAAATGATTATCATTTAAATAAACAGTCCTTTCTCAGCTTTCCTTAACAGAAGGTCATTATTCATAACTAAAAGCTAGAACTAATTAACCAATCTGATAATGTAAATCCTATTAGGAATATTTCTTATCCAAATTAATTCTCTCCCAAAATCACAGCTACTGTTACGGTAGTATATGCTAAGTGATTTTATTTGAAAATCCCTCAGTGTATGCTTCTCCCCTGCCGCCCGCCAAGTCTGCTAAGTACTTTATTTTTCCAACAGATGTAAGAATTTTTATAACAGGAAACAAGGAACCAGTAACCTCCAGATATTGTTGGCTTCTGATTCCATCAACTATAAAAAAACTGAATCATGGGAGTGGTAGTCCAACAACATTGCGGGGAAAACATACCTGCTTTATAGAAGTCCTTGCATGCTGGTCTTATCCAAGTAGCCCTTCGTCTAATGTTTGGAGTAGAGAATACATTACAGGTTAAAATGTCAAAGTTCATAAATTGTACATTTGGGTAAAAAAGTTTTGCTCAGAATTGGGAATCAACCTGTGCACTAATGAATTCATGCTGAAGCATTCAGCTTATTTCCTATGTTTCTTTTTGCAAACCAAGAAGACAAAACAAAATGTTAGAACAAATGGCTTGCATAATAAACCCTGGATTGTGGATAAATAAATAGGGTGTGTGTCTTGTTTGGAGTTAGTGTTGATTCCTGGTGACTGCTTGGACAGATCAGAAATTTTCTTGGCAAGATTTCAGAAGTATTTTCCTTGCCTCTTTCCTAGGGCTGAGAGAGGGTGGCTGGTCTAAGGTCAGCTTTGTGCCTAAAGTGGGACTAGAATTCATGGTCTCCCAGTTTCTAGCCCAGTACCTTAATTGCTACATCAAACCAGCAGCTGCATTGCAATAAAGTAGAATTAGACTTACATTAGTTTACAGGATTTTACTGTATTTTTGGTTTTTTTTATTATGTAACTCTGGCTACTATTTTCTTAGTCTGGGGCATATAAACAGAAGTAAATAAATACACAAATTATAAGCTCCCGTATTCTGATGCAGCTCAGCTATACCCCTTAGTACGTTTTGAAATGTGAAATCCTTGTTGTGAAATCCAACAAGCTTGAATAAGAGGGCATCCTGGTCTTTGTCTCTGAAGATAGATCCAGATAATACTTTGCTTTTTTTTTACATACTAACATTACATACTTACATATTTTTAGCACCCCCTTTTGAGATCTGAGTTAAATACCATTAAGAAGCAAAGTTCAACCACTCTGTTTTGATGATTCAGTCTCATAAATCTGCGTAGAAGTGAGAGTCATGTTTGATAGGACTTGCTTCCAAATAGAGGGTAAATAGCAGCACTGCTTAATTTAACTATAAAAGAGTAGAAGAGGAAAACTTTAATGTGTTAAGCTTTATTGAATAAAGCACTATTGGCTGTGTTCATAGAACACACTAAGGCACAGTGTACCACAAACTGCAGTTATTAGGGCTCATGTGCATGAAGTCAAATCCAAAGAAATCAGATTAGGTTAAGACAAACTGCAAAACATCTGAATGAAATCTTGAAATATGCAGAAGCATGTATGAGGCATTTTTCTCCAAATCATTAAAGCAGCTATGTCTTTTGTAGAGTTCATGCAGCTGCTTCAAAAGCTGTTTCTGACTCAAGACATGCACAGATACAGTGGGGCAAAAAAGTATTTAGTCAGCCACCAATAGTGCAAGTTCTCCCACTTAAAAAGATGAGAGAGGCCTGTAATTGACATCATAGGTAGACCTCAACTATGAGAGACAAAATGAGAAAACAAATCCAGACAATCACATTGTCTGATTTGGAAAGAATTTATTTGCAAATTATGGTGGAAAATAAGCATTTGGTCAATATCAAAAGTTCATCTCAATACTTTGTTATATATCCTTTGTTGACAATGACAGAGGTCAAACGTTTTCTGTAAGTCTTCACAAGGTTGGCACACACTGTTGCTGGTATGTTGGCCCATTCCTCCATGCAGATCTCCTCTAGAGCAGTGATGTTTTGGGGCTGTTGCTGGGCAACACGAACTTTCAACTCCCTCCAAAGGTTTTCTATGGGGTTGAGATCTGGAGACTGTCTAGGCCACTCCAAGACCTTGAAATGCTTCTTACGAAGCCACTCCTTCGTTGCCTGGGTGGTGTGTTTGGGATCATTGTCATGCTGAAAGACCCAGCCATGTTTCATCTTCAATGCCCTTGCTGATGGAAGGATGTTTGCACTCAAAATCTCACGATACATGGCCCCATTCATTCTTTCCTGTACACGGATCAGTCGTCATGGTCCCTTTGCAGAGAAACGGCCCCAAAGCATGATGTTGCCACCCCCATGCTTCACAGTAGGTATGGTGTTCTTTGGATGCAACTCAGCATTCTCTCTCCTCCAAACACGACGAGTTGTGTTTCTACCAAACAGTTCTACTTTGGTTTCATCTGACCATATGACATTCTCCCAATCCTCTTCTGGATCATCCAAATGCTCTCTAGCAAACTTCAGACGGGCCCAGCAGCAAAATTGATCTTTTGGATTAAAGAAAACACAGTAACTATAGTTGTTGTTAATGACTGCAAACCCTATATGGACTATTTGTTGAAAATGAAAAAAAAAAGCATGAAGTTATGACTTAGGGATTTGATGATAAGAAAGGGTAGAATATAGGGAGAAGAGAGCCATGATATAACTTATATAAAGACAGGATAAAATTCAAATTACAATTTACAGCATTTTATTATTTTTTTTCCCTTTCAGACTTTTTTTTTTTTACTTATCACAGGCACACAGTTGGCAAAACTCTTCCTAAAGGCTTGTCAGAAGAGTTTTGGCGGCTGCATGCCTTCCCTCCCCCCACCATTAGCCAGGCAAATGGCAAGGAAGAGAATAATTCTTTCTCTCACCATTTGCCTTCACTGGGGGAGAGAAGGAGAGCATTTAGCCAAGAAAGGAAAACAGAAACATTCACCAGCATCACAGAGAAAGATGGCCACTTTTCTGCCAGGTGGCCCAGCCATCGGGTAGCTGTCCTCCTTTTGTACCCTGACATCCTGAGCTTTGGAGAGCTTTAAAAGGTAAGTGACGGGGCGGGTGTGGAGGAGGCCCGAGCGCCTGTGGGGACCCAATGGGTGGGAAGTGGAACATGGGATACCTCAATGGACCGGGGGGGGAGGCCTTGGGAAGCCAGAGCAGGTGGTATTGTTCCTGCACTTAGCCCCCCCCCATGGTCTTCTCCACCCATGAGGCACTCCATGAACACTTAACAACCCATACATTTGTTTAACAGATCCATTGGGGAGAGTTGGGAAGGACTTCATTTACTTAACAAGATTCAATTAGTGTCCTCCCAACCTTGAACCATAATGGGCAGACTCCATTGTGATCCTAACTTGAGGACTATCTGCAGTTGTTTAATTAATGTAGACATGGTTTGCCATTATGGTGTGAGATTTATTTTTTTTAATTTCCTAATCTAATTTACAGCTTTGGGACATCCTGTTGTTCTCCCATCTAGCTATTAACCAGCTCCAATTATGCTTAGGTTGCAAGATGAACTAAAGCCACGCACTATCATTATCTCTGAGGTTTCTATGGGTAGAAGCTCTTATATCTGAAGAACTGCGAAGTGGGACAGCAGAAAAATCATCGAATTTTTCATCAGCAGCAAACAGGTAATTCACTTCTATCCCTTCCAGGTGGGCAAGATGCATTATTGGGTTTATGGTTGTTTCCAAACCTATACATGTATTTTATAATATTCTGCTTGTTCCTTCCCTTTGTAAAGTAAGATTTCCTCCAATAGTCCTAGTCTAGTGAAGAGAAGGACCAGAGGAGACATGATAGTGTTCCAATATTTGAGGGGCTGCCACAGAGAGGAGTGGGTCAAGCTATTTTCCAAAGCACATGAAGGCCAGACAAGGAATAATGGATGGAGACTGAACGAGAGAAATAAGGAGAAATTTTCTGACAGAGCAATCAACCAATGGAAAAGCTTGCCTTCGGAAGTGGTGGGAGCTTCATCACTGAAAGCTTTCAAGAAGAGACTAGACTGCCATCTGTGAGAAATAGTGTAGGGGCTCCTGCTTGGATGGGGGGTTGGACTCGATGACCTACAAGGTCCCTTCCAACTCTATTAATCTGTATCTGTATCAATGTGACTGGCCAATGTGACTGGCCAAGTCCATGCAAAACCTGCCATGATCACAAGTTTCTTTCTTTAACAATATGGACAATTTAAAATAATATATGGGTATGACAAACATATATTAGAGTATCAATATGGTGTAATAATTAAGGGACTGAGCAGGAAATAGGAGACATGAGGAGTATTCCTGCCTTAAACATAAAGCTAACTGGGGGACCTTGAGCCACTGGGTCAGTCATTCTCAGGACTAGGAAGCAAAGGCAAACCACTTCCAAAAAATCTTACCAAGAAAACTGCAGAGATTAGTCCAGGTGATCACCAGGAGTCAATACCGGTAATGACTTGAAGGCACAGACAAAAAGACAAACATTGATTTGTACTTACAATTACAATCAGAGCAGTGGTGAAATGTAAAATTTGTTACTAGCGGTTTTGTGGGCGTGGCTTGGGGATAATGTGACTGGGTGGGTGTGGCCAACTTTTTATTAAAAAAAACTTTTAAAAGCATTTTTTCTACAACCTCTTTGGCTGAAGAGGTTGTAGAAAAAATGCTTTTAAAAGGCTCTGACGATCCCAGCTGAGCTGTGCGATCATCAGAGGCTTTTTTTTTTTTACTTTTAGAAGCATTTTTTGGCCGAAGAAAAAATGCTTTTAAAAGTAAAAAAAAAAGCCTCTGATGATCGCGTGGGTCAGCTGGGCATGGCAGGGGGCAGGGATTTTTCCTACTGGTTCTCCGAACAACCCGCTGCCATTGCTACCAGATCGGGTGATCTGGTCCGGATCGGGCAATCTGGTCCGAACCGGGAGCATTTCACCCCTGAATCAGAGTATACAAAGAATTCATTGGTGAGTCTATAATTTATGAAGGGCTTTGCTAGAAACTTCCCAGTATTTCAAAGAATGGGTCCACTTTGAATCTACATTTGTAGAGCGCTCATCTTGTTGGCAGCCAGAATTCCCTTGCAGATCAGTTTGATGTTGCTGGTTATGGTTGTCAGTATTTAACACTTGGTATGCAAAACAAAAAGCTACGATTGAGAAATAAAATCTGAGATAAATATAATGAAACTACAGGGCATGAGAGAATCTCTTTTAGAGAAACCAGAATACAGTAGAAGATTCTGACTTCCCAACTGAAGACACAAGATTTTGGACGACTGCCTACTGTTTCCCAACTCACCTCCTCCTTTGGCTGAGGATCCCAGCCAGCATGGCCAAGGCCTCATGGATTTGAATCCAGAATATCTGTTGGGCATCCGTTTTTTCACATCATGGTTATTGTATAGGGATTTTCTGGAGAGAGAGCAGCAAGGGTAGTCAAGTACATACATATAGGCACCCAGACCATATATTACATACATTTATAACCAGAATGAACATCTGGATGAAGTACAAAAGCCTCTAGAAAATTTGGAGAACATGATTGCTAATCTTACTACATCTGGGTAGATGATGAAAAGAAAGATCAGCTGAATGGAGGACAAAGTTTCCCTGACTTCTGCTGTTGCCCCATTTAGGGCCAGGCTGCAGTGCAAAAGAAAAATGGGTTTGCATTTATCTTTCCATTCCATGCGCAATCAGTCTTTCTACAGTTTGTGAGGAACCTTTTCAAGTTAAATTCTAAGCATATTGGTGGAGAAATGAGATGTAGAAAGGCTGACAGGGTTTGCAGAAGGAGCAGAGGAATAATAAGGCTGCAGGCAAGAGTTGAGCTGCATGCCATTTTGAAATCCATGAGGTGTGAGGGGTAGCTGATGCATCTAGGGATTGCTGGTGTGGGGAACTCGGAAGAGAAAATGCCAGCTTCCTCACTCCCAGCAGTTTCCTGAGGTGACATGACAAATGGGCTGCTGTGAAAGAAAGAGGAGGAAGAGGAGAGGTAACAAATAAATGGAAGTTTTGAACAAAACCTGAGCATATGGAAACTCTGGGACTAGACTGCCAGGAATTGAGTTAAATCTAACTTTCTTGTAGCTGTTTAGATTTATTTGGGTATGTTAAAATAAAAACCAACAATTTTTCTTTCTTTTCTTTTTTAATTCTATAGGTTACTCTTTATTAATGCAATGCTATGATAAGGAGAATCATCAAATTAGAAAGCACGACTGCACCATCCTCAATAAATGATAATTCAGCCTCCATTTGAAAACCTCCAGTGAAGAGGAAACTACTCTATTCACATTGAATGAAAGCTTTTACTATCAAGAAGTTTTCCTAATGTCTAAATCTAATCTCTATCTACATCCTTGAAGTTTCATACCAGTAGTTGCAACTGTTACTATCTGGAGCAAGTGAGGACAAGTCCAAACCCTCTACAACATGACAATCCTTCAGGTATTGGAAGACAGCTACCATGTCCCCTGAACATACCTAGGTTTTTAAATAGTTCTTCATAGGACTTACTTTCCTCCAGTTCATCATTGTCCTATTTAAATTGGAAGAAAAAACCCAATTGGCAAAATGTGCTGAAAAGCAAAATAGGTATCTTCCAAAATCTATCCTAATCCTGACTTGGGTACTAAAAAATTCTACATCCATTTATTAATTTTGCTTGGGCAGCTCCTTCTAAAAGGCATTTTAGAAGAAATTTCACTGAAAAGAGAAGCACACAACAACAACAAAGCCACTCATAAATGAATTAAGTATAAATAAATGAAAGATAAGGGAGTGAAGTATGTTGCAAGTAAAAACTCCCCACAGCTCAGTTCTGCAAGTGTTCATTTACCATTATTATTCATTTGCATATTTAGTGACTGACTTATTTACCATCTCTTCCATGAAAAATACATATAAATAAACCATTCAGTAGACACTTCTGCATCACAAAAGTTTAGCCTTTGGGGCTGCAAGGGAGGGATGTTTCCATTTATAGGAAATGAGGACCTCAAAGGACAGGTTCTCTTCAGTGCAACCCTTCCACGCAGTGCTTTGATGGCTCTCTGGACCTGCTTGCATGTACTGGAGTTGTGAATGCTCCAATACATGTTGCAATTGTTCAGGCTATCTTGAGAAAGCAATGACAGATACCCTGAGAGTTGGGAAGAGTTGAGTCACAACCTTGAGAAAGGAGGGGGAATAGTTCTCTTTCTGGTTTTAGAAAGCTTAACAAAAGGCCTTTCAGCGGGGTCCAGGAAAACTCAAACACTAATTTCTTTTTGGGGGAGGCCCAAGAGAACACCATCCAAGCATTCCTATTCCTCAGAATCTCAACAGGGAGACACTTAGGGATGGACAATAGGAAACAAATAGCCTGTCACTGACCCGAAAACCCATTAGCCTTATTCAGGTATTCGTTGCTCAAGGGGCAAGTGTGGAGGAAGACTGTGCTGAGAACTCTGCTGCAGTATTATGGATGTCACAGCCCTTCTGTCTCTGCTGTGCTCCTATTCAGGGCTATCATATGCAGAAAGTGGCCTTTGGCATAACATTTTACATGCATAGAATATGTCAGCCAATACCACTAAAACAGGACTCTGACTTGTATATTGCAGTCCATTAGGCTTTTAAAGCATGAACAACCAGGCCCACGCGTGTAGAGTTCAAACTAGCTACTTTATTGTTTTATGCCTGTTCCACAGGAATCTTCCCAGAATGGTAGCATTCACCTGGGGAAAATTAGATAAGACTCGAAGGGTGTATGTGTGTCAGATCTTGCCCTCTTGTGTTTATGTAATGAGTCCAGACTAATTTCCTGTTTGAGGCTTTCTCCTGCCTGGATTGGTTGCTCTCTAACAAGGTTGCTATCTCCAGAATCTTAGAAGTTAAAAGTTTAGAGGTATCAGTAGTTCATCTTAAATCAGATTTGAGGCCTTCTGAGTCATTTTGTGCAACACACAGGCAACCGATGTGGAATGGTGAAAATGTAGCTCTCTTCCAGAGTCAAGTTATTTCATTTACATTTAATGTGAAATCCTTACCTTCAGATTTGGCTCACTGGAGTCCATTGTATCAATGTAGGAAAATACGGACTTCCGGTTTCCTTGTCTTCGGCGGCGGCAGTGCCTTTTGAAGCTCCGCCAGCCCCGCCGCTTGTAGAGCCGCTTCGCGACTAAGAAGCGGCTCGAAAACTTCAAAAATCTCTAGGATTTTTGAAGAGAGATCGCAGGGCACAGGTTGAGCCCCTGCAACCCCCCCAGGGAATAGTTTCTGGGGAGGGAACAGGAGCGGCTCCCATTCAACCTGCTGGAACTCCGGGCGGCGTGGGACAAGTCTGCTTCTGCAGAACAAGCCGGCTACAGGAAACCTTAAATTGAAAGAAAAGGAACCAGCTTTAATGAGCAGCATACTGTTACTTGAACCCTGAAACTCGGAAGCGCAAGTATTAAGAGTTTTCTTGGCTTTCTAATCTGAGTGAAAAAATGCGGATGAGTGAAAGTGAATTGTAAAAACATGGCGTTTAGCCTTAGAGCTAACGAGCTGGCGAGTGTGGATTGCTGAACTCATCTTGCTTTGTTACAAAGTTTCTAAACTGCTACGAAGTTGCTTCGCTTGCAACAAGAGAAATAAGAGAGAAATTTCTCCTTTTTCAATACTGGACTTTACTTTACTTTGGTTCTTATTTGATCAAATCTGGGGGACTTTTTCAGAAGTCTTTGTGGAGGTGGGAGAGGAAGAAGAACTTCCCTTTTTAATAAAACCAGCCTACGTGGCAGGATGGCCTCAAAGAAGCAGGAAGCGAAGGCAACAGGAGGTGGATCTCCCACACATAAAGCACAGCCTCCCCCAGTACAACAGATACAGACTCAGAAAAAAGATTTTGATGTGGGAGATTTAAAAGAATTTATTTCTAAAACTTTGGATGATAAATTTCAAAAATCTCAACAGGAGATAGATGATAAACTTCAAAAATCACATCAGGAATTTATGCAGGAAATTAATGAAGTTAAAGATATGGTGAAACAGAATCAAAACAAGGTGACCAAAAAAATATCAGAAGTGGCGTCTGGCCTGGCAGAATTTATTGTGAAAGTTGATTCTAAAGTTGAAGAACTTAAATCAGAAGTTAATGTTAAGATGAAAGACAATGATTATAAAATTGCTGATGTGGACAATAAAATGCAAAGAGTTGAAAATGAGATTGTCATGGTACAATTCAGGGCAATGGAGTTTGCCATACGGCTTCGAGGAATTCGAGAAGAGGAAAGACAGGATTTGAGACAGGTTTGTTCTGAGGCCCTGGCCAAGATTCTACAAGTTAATCCTGATGTGGTTTTTCACAAAATAGATAAAATTTACAGAGTGAATTCTTGGGTGGCCAGACAAAGACAATTGCCCAGAGATGTGGTCATATATTTTACAGATAGAGAAATAAGAAATGACATCCTGCAAAAATCCTTTTACACTTCTGTGCAAGTGTGGGGCTCACGAATTGGAATTTATAAAGAATTACCCCCTAAAATGCTGAAAACTAGAAAAGAATTTGGCTTTCTTGTTAAGGAATTACAAAATTTACAGATACCATTTCGGTGGGACGCCCCAGTTGGTATAATTTTGAGATACAAGGGAGAAAGATATCGCTTGAATACTGTGGAGAAGGCACAGCACTTTTACACTACTATTCTTAAGGAAAGAACACCATCTCCACGTACATCTACAGTTTTGGAGATTAAGGAGAGTGAAGAGAAGCAACTTCAACGAGAACTGCAAGAACAGTCTAAGCAGGAATTAGAGGAAATGCAAGGCGCAGAAGGAGGTTTTCTGGATGAGCCTTTGCTGGAATCTTCTCCAATCTTGGACCCGGTTCAGATGATTGAAGTTAAGGATCAACGTATAACTCGAGCTCAATCTAAGTTACTTAAACAAAAGCAACAACAACAACAGGAAAGACAAGATAAGAAGGCAGTTAAGAGTACTGCACAAGAGACTGGAGCCATGGGGGGAGCGAGATCGAAGCTTTCGGATGATCTTCGATTATTCTGCTCTTTGCTTCAGAAAGATGAAGATGATGTTTAAGTGTTTATCTTGGAATGTTAACGGGTTGAATTCAGCACAGAAAAGGAAGAAATTATTTACATATTTGAAACAATTTAATAATGATATAATTTGTTTACAAGAAACGCATATCACAACTCAAGATCAAAAATATTTGATAAACTCCAAACTAGGAACACATTTTATATCTTCAACTTCACAAAAAAAGAATGGTGTGGTTATTTATGTAAATAAAAAGTTAACAGCTAAAGTTATAGAAGCAGATGAAGATGGTAGGTTTGTAGCAATTGAATTGCTTACAGCAAATGGCCAAATTCTTTTGATTGGAATTTATGCTCCCAATCAACAACAGGACCATTTCT